CAAGATCAGTCACATTAGAAGAGTGATGATCTGGGACAAAAGTACAACATTCATCGCCAATGATTGCCCCCTTGACCTGCCAAAAGATAGTCAAGAACCTCTCTGTTTTGCCAATTTACACATTTATTTTAGCATTGACAATTTTCTCTACGTCTAACACTTTTTTGGTTACTACATGATTCCATATGTGTTATTTCACGGTTTTGATGTCTTCACTATTATTCTACAATGTAGAAAATAGTAAAAATAAAGACAAACCCTTGAATGAGTAGGTCCGTCCAAACTTTTGACTGGTAGTGTATATATTTTTATAATTGATATTGTACATAAATGCTTTGTATCATATGATACTGTACTGACTATAAGGGCAGACCCCTTTGGTCATTTATAACACATGCATAAATGCGTATTGATGTAAACACACATATATTAACACTTAGGGAATTATCACTAACAGCTAAAACAAATAAACATTAAAGACGTGTTTAAACCATACATTTTGTTTTATTTGTACATTTTTAAAACAATACAAATACATGAAGTTTCAACAAGTCCTGCAATGCAATTACATTGAACATTACACAGGGCTGTGAATAGTGGAGCTTGTCCCTGAGCTGGAGGACAAATGGTTCTTGCCTCTCTGCCTGCTGGAGGTACTGCATGTTGGTTCCAACCTTAAAGTAACAACTAAGAAGGTTAGCAGGTCTGTGAGGAAATGCCTTGGTCACATCTGGATAAAGGCATTTCTGTGCTTCACCAGAAACTCCATTCAATTCGTATTATATTCCTCTTTCATTTACTAATCTGATGACGTGACTGTGAGACGTGGCTGTATCTAGGGGGATTTTTTATTTAGCTAAGCCTGCTAGCTATTGCTGTGAAGTCACCAAAATTATTTGAAATAACAATTGAGGTGGTTATGTAATCTAACTCAACACTTAACTACTACAAATTAATTTAAATTACAATAAATAAAGGTTAACTTACTAATTTTTGTCCAGTGGCATTTGATTGGCAACTCATCACGGCTTACTGAGCTACAGAAACAATGCTAACCAGACAACAGGGCAGGACTGAATTAAAGGGTAACTACACAACAAAAACTACAATTTCTTAGATTTTCCCCAGATCTGAAAAGTCATGATGTGCTTATTTTTTCTGTGTTGTGAAAATAAAATATAGTTGTTTTTCTCTTCTTTTTTTTTAAAAGTGTGAAACCACAAAGAAATTGGGAAAATCTGAAACCTGGAAAAACAAAACAGAGAAAACTCAATTTAGGTAAAAAAATGAATTAGGCAAAAAAATAAACACGGATTTTAAAAGACCTTTCAACTTTAGCGTATGTCATCCTGTAGCACAGCATTCTGGGGGAAGTTGAGGTCAGGTCCAATATTGGCTATGCACCCAGGAGGGAAAGAGGTTGGGCCATCCTAGAAATGTTTTAGTAAAATATAATATAATATAATATATACAGTTTAGCAGACACTTTTATCCAAAGCGACTTACAGTCATGCGTGAATACATTTTTACATATGGATGGCCCCGGGAATCGAACCCACTATCCTGGCGTTGCAATGCTCTACCAAGATGCATGACAGGGTTATAAATGCTTTGTGAAGCCTCAATTTAATATGATTTATAAGGCCTTTATTAAGCAGTGCTTATGCCACCCTTTATAAAGCACAGGGTTATGTCACATTTGACATTAATGGTTATGTCACACAGTTATGCCACATTTATGAACCCTTTATAGAGCATGACACACGGTTAAAGATGCTTTGTAACACATTTATGTAGTGTTTATAAAGGCTTTATGAAGCCTTTATAAGACACATGTCATTCGAAGTGGGATCACGTTGGGACCTTGTTACTTTGGGTTATATTTTTGTAAACATTTGAGTGATTATTTTGATGAAGAATCTGATTATTAAAACTATACTGAACAAAAATACAAACGCAACATGCAACAATTTCAAAGATTTTACTGAGATACAGTTCAGTAAGGAAATCAGTCAATTGAAATAAATTCATTAGGCTCTAATCTATGGGTTTCACATGACTGGGAATACAGATATGCATCTGTTGGTCACAGATACCTTAAAAAATAGTTAGGGGCATGGAACAGAAAACCAGTCAGTATCTGGTGGGACCACCATTTGCCTCATGCAGCGCGACACATCTCCTTCACATAGAGTTGATCAGGCTGTTGATTGTGGCCTGTGGAATGTTGTCCCACTCCTCTTCAATGGCTCTGCGAAGTTGCTTGATATTGGTGGGAACTGGAACACGCTGTCGTACATGTCGATCCAGAGCATCCTAAACATGCTCAAAGGGTGACATGTCTGGTGAGTATGCAGGCCATGGAAGAACTGGGACATTTTCAGCTTCCAGGAATTGTGTACAGATCCTTGCGACATGGGGGCCGTGCATTGTCATGCTGAAACATGAGGTGATGGATGGCACGTCAATGGGCCTCAGGATCTCATCAATGGTATCTCTGTTCATTCAAATTGCCATCGATAAAATGCAATTGTGTTCGTTGTCCGTAGCTTATACCTGCCCATACCTGCCCATACCATAACCCCACCACCACCACGGGGCACTCTGTTCACAACATTGACATCAGCAAACCACTCGCTCACACAACGCCATACATGTGGTCTGCGATTGTGAGGCCGGTTGGATATACTGCCAAATTCTCTAAAATGACGTTGGAGGCGGCTTATGGTAGAGAAATTCATATTAAATTCTCTGGCAACAGCTCTGGTGGACATTCCTGCAGTCAACATGCCAATTACACGCTCCCTCAAAACTTGAGACATCTGTGGCCTTTTTAGAGTGGCCTTTTATTGTCCCCAGCACAAGGTGCACCTGTGTAATGATCATGCTGTTTAATCAGCTTCTTGATATACCACACCTGTCAGGTGGATGGATTATCTTTGCAAATGAGAAATGCTCACTAACAGGGATATAAACAAATGTGTGTACAAGATTTTAGAGAAATAAGCTTTTTGTGCCTGTGGAACATTTCTGGGATCTTTTATTTCAGCTCATGAAAAATGGGACCAACACTTTACATCAGTGGTCACCAACCGGTCTATCGCGATCAGCTGGTCGATCTCCAAGGCATTCCCAGTCGATCTCCAAGGCATTCCCAGTCGATCACCAAACATGTCTGGAAAAAAACTACAACAATAAAGCCTTTCGTTCCTATTTATTAATTTCACTCTGTGTCGAAAGGTGCGTTTGATTCAGCAGAACTAACGTTGTAGTAGTTGTTAACTAGGCAAAGTGTTCCATTTGAACCATTTAATGTGGCTGAAGGTAGAACTCCGCCTACCCGGCAGGCCCAGAGAGCAAATCAAGTGCACCTATAGGCCTACCGCTGGCCAATCAGGGCGGCAGGTAGCTTAGTGGTTAAGAGTGTTGTGCCAGTAACCGAAAGGTCGCTGGTTCTAATCCCCGAGCCGACTAGGTGAAAAATCTGTCGACATGCCCTTGAGCAAGGCACTTAACCCTAATTGCTCCTGTAAGTCGCTCTGGATAAGAGCGTCTGCTAAATGACTAAAAAAAAAAAAAAAAAAAAAAAAAAACAATCAGATAGCTCAGATCACAATTTCCTCGTGCCATAGAAAGAAGCCTCGAACGCACAGCAAAGTTTATTTTATTTAACCAGGCAAGTCAGTAAGTAACAAATTCTTATTTACAATGACAGCCTACCCAAGCCAAGCCCTACTCCAACGATGCTGGGCCAATTGTGCGCCGCCCTATGGGACTCCCGATCACGGCCGGTTGTGATACAGCCTGGGATTGAACCCGGGTCTGTAGTGACGCCTCTAGCACTGCGATGCAGCGCCTTAGACCACTGCGCCACTCAGTCCCCTCGTTGATACTGTGAACCCGGGTCTGTAGTGACGCCTCTAGCACTGCGATGCAGCGCCTTAGACCACTGCGCCACTCAGTCCCCTCGTTGATACTGTGAACCCGGGTCTGTAGTGACGCCTCTAGCACTGCGATGCAGCGCCTTAGACCACTGCGCCACTCAGTCCCCTCGTTGATACTCTGAAACCATGACTAGGGACTCAACTAATACAGCAAACAGCTGCTGTTCTTATGAGTAAGTTCATGTTGAAGTTGTTATTAGGCGTTGTTATCACTTTGTTCAACACCTTTATAAGATGTGTAAGCTTTATATGCCATCAGCACTACAGATGCATTGATTGAGTATAGCAAAGTGTTTCGATAAGCTTGCATCGTTATTATTAGCAGAACTGGTTTTAATTGGTAATGTTGTATCGGCTTTCATTTTGACTCAGAAAGTGATCTTGACTCATGTTGCGTTTATGTTTTTGTTAAGTGTATGTTGTTCTTTAAAACATGTACCAGCTACAGATTATTATAATTGTATTGTTTATTTAACCTTTATTTAACCAGGCAAGTCAGTTAAGAACACTTTCTTATTTACAATGACGGCCTCCCCTAACCCGGAACAAAACCCGGACAACGCCGCCCTATAACATGTACCAGCTACAGACGATAACATGTACCAGCTACAGACGATAACATGTACCAGCTACAGACGATAACATGTACCAGCTACAGACGATAACATGTACCAGCTACAGATGCACTTCTGATTTTGGAAAGACCCTAAAGGTCATGGAAATGGTGCACACTGCCTCTCGGTGCTAGTGGTCAGATTTTACCTGAATAAGATAACTATAAATAAATGTTGACATTTGATATTATTTCTCATATCATTCAATTATGAATTACTTACCCCCAAAATAGTATGATATTGGGGGCTAATCATAGGGCCTAGAAGGGTAGTGGCATGTTAACAACAGCGACATCTAGCGACTGATCTATGTAAGGACAACAATTGTATTTCTATTGTACTTCCGGGTCCGTGTGGTTCGTTCCTTGTTGCTTCTCTGAACTCCACGAAACAGTGGATTATTCATTGATTCTTCAAACGTTGACCAGAGTGATTATTAGCAATGTATCATCAACCGGTACTGAAGAACCGACGGACTCTTCTGGAACGAGCTGAGAAATTCATATCTGAGATTTATTTCACCGACTGCAACCTTAGGGGAAGGTAAATGGCATTACTTAGCTAGCAGTCAAGCGCAATAAAATGCATGCCCATTACCCACTCAATTAGCCTGCTAACTAGCTCTGTTTTGTTGGTCAGATGAAAGTTATATTTATTGTGCAAAAAATGTATGCATGCACCGAAGCGAAGAGAGACACTGTGCTCCTTGTAATAGGTTCTCTGTTCCTTCTGGGTCTAGTGATGACAGCACCTAATGGTACTCTTGGTCATGTAAAACATGTTTCTTACAACACGACTTCTTCTTTCCAGGCTATATGGAGACACCTGTCCCCTGGAGTCCCTCTCCTCCTCCCTGTCACGGAAACGGATCCCATTCCCAGAGGCTGTCAAACAGAACTTTGAGCCATATCAAGTTGGTGATACCTTTGGACCTACGTAAGGACTGGAGGATTTTATAGCCCTCTTCAAACATTATATTTGGTTAAATACCACTTGTCTACAATGAATGAAATTAATGAATGAGTGAGTGAGTAACTGAGTTAGTGGAGTGAGTTTTTGAATCAGTGAATGAGCGTGTGAAAGAACGAACAAACCAGTGAACGAACAAACAAACTAATATGAATAGTAATGTTTTATGGCAGATGGTGGACATGCTGGTTTAAAGTATCTCTGAGGATACCAGAATCCTGGAGAGGGAAGCAGGTCCATCTGCGCTGGGAGAGTGATGGAGAGGCCATGGTCTGGAGGGATGAGCAGCCAGTACAGGTTAGAAATGATATAAAAACCACATGAGCCACACCTCAACCAACATAACACTACAGTACGTCAACAGACTAGCCTCATCCCCCAGCTCTCTCAGTTAGCCTTGGGACGAGGTCATGCGTACACTAACAATCTGTTTTAGTTATATGAGAACTATATACGCTAATCAAGCCTCACTACATGTTGTTCAAACACAACATTTTATTCTCATGGGTTGACGTTAATGTTGTTCTTTAATTGACGGGGTTGATGTTGTTCTTTGATTGACGGGGTTGATGTTGTTCTTTGATTGACGGGGGTTGATGTTGTTATTTGATTGACGGGGTTGATGTTGTTATTTGATTGACAGGGGTTGATGTTGTTATTTGATTGACAGGGGTTGATGTTGTTCTTTGATTGACAGGGGTTGATGTTGTTATTTGATTGACAGGGGTTGATGTTGTTATTTGATTGACAGGGGTTGATGTTGTTATTTGATTGACAGGGGTTGACCAAAGAAGGGGAGAAGACCAGCTACATCCTGACTGAGTGTCTGATGGATGATGAGCCTCACAGGTTAGTGGGTTCAATTCATTTCAAATCAAATCAAATCACATTTTATTGGTCACATGCACCGAATACAACAGGTGCAGACATTACAGTGAAATGCTTACTTACCCTTAACCAACAGTGCATTTATTTAAAAATAAAAATAAAACAACAACAAAAAAAGTGTTGAGAAAAAAAAGAGCAGAAGTAAAATAAAATAACAGTAGGGAGGCTATATATACAGGGGGGTACCGGTGTAGAGTCAAAGTGCGGGGGCACCGGCTAGTTGAGGTAGTTGAAGTAATATGTGGGTAGAGTTAAAGTGACTATGCATAAATAATTAACAGAGTAGCAGCAGCGTAAAAAGATGGGGTGGGGGGGCAGTGCAAATAGTCCGGGTAGCCATGATTAGCTGTTCAGGAGTCTTATGGCTTGGGGGTAGAAGCTGTTAAGAAGCCTTTTGGACCTAGACTTGGCACTCCGGTACCGCTTGCCGTGCGGTAGCAGAGAGAACAGTCTATGACTAGGGTGGCTGGAGTCTTTGACAATTTTGAGGGCCTTCCTCTGACACCGCCTGGTATAGAGGTCCTGGATGGCAGGAAGCTTGGCCCCAGTGATGTACTGGGCCGTACGCACTACCATCTGTAGTCGGAGGCCAAGCAGTTGCCATACCAGGTGGTGATGCAACCAGTCAGGATGCTCTCGATGGTGCAGCTGTATAATTTTTTGAGGATCTGAGGACCCATGCCAAATCTTTTCAGTCTCCTGAGGGGGAATAGGCTTTGTCGTGCCCTCTTCACGACTGTCTTGGTGTGTTTGGACCATGATAGTTTGTTGGTGATGTGGACACCAAGGAACTTGAAGCTCTCAACCTGTTCCACTACAGCCCCGTCGATGAGAATGGGGGCGTGCTCAGTCCTCTTTTTTTTCCTGTAGTCCACAATCATCTCCTTTGTCTTGGTCACGTTGAGGGAGAGGTTGTTGTCCTGGCACCACACTGCCAGGTCTCTGACCTCCTCCCTATAGGCTGTCTCATCGTTGTCGGTGATCAGGCCTACCACTGTTGTGTCGTCAGCAAACTTAATGATGGTGGAGTGCAATAGAGATTGCATCATCTGTGGATCTGTTGGGGCGGTATGCAAATTGGAGTGGGTCTAGGGTTTCTGGGATAATGCTGTTGATGTGAGCCATGACCAGCCTTTCAAAGCACTTCATGGCTACAGACGTCAGTGCTACGGGTCGGTAGTCATTTAGGCAGGTTATCTTAGAGTCCTTGGGCACGGGGACTATGGTGGTCTGCTTGAAACATGTTGGTATTACAGACTCAGTCAGGGACATGTTGAAAATGTCAGTGAAGACACTTGCCAGTTGGTCAGCACATGCTCGGAGTACACGTCCTGGTAATCCGTCTGGCCCTGCGGCCTTGTGAATGTTGACCTGCTTAAAAGTCTTACTCACATCGGCTACGGAGAGCGTGATCACATAGTCATCCGGAACAGCTGGTGCTCTCATGCATGCTTCAGTGTTGCTTGCCTCGAAGCGAGCATAGAAGTGGTTTAGCTCGTCTGGTAGGCTTGTGTCACTGGGCAGCTCGCGGCTGTGCTTCCCTTTGTAGTCTGTAATAGTTTTCAAGCCCTGCCACATCCGACGAGCGTCAGAGCCAGTGTAGTATGATTCAATCTTAGTCCTGTATTGACTCTTTGCCTGTTTGATGGTTCGTCGGAAGGCATAGCGGGATTTCTTATAAGCGTCCGGGTTAGAGTCCCGTTCCTTGAAAGCGGCAGCTCTACCCTTTAGCTCAGTGCGGATGTTTCCTGTAATCCATGGCTTCTGGTTGAGGTATGTACGTACGGTCACTGTGGGGACGACATCATCGATGCACTTATTGATGAAGCCAGTGACTGATGTGGTGTACTCCTCAATGCTATCTGAAGAATCTTGGAACATGTTCCAGTCTGTGCTAGCAAAACAGTCCTGTAGCTTAGCATCTGCATCATCTGACCACTTTTTTATTAACCGAGTCACTGGTGCTTCCTGCTTCCTGCTTTAGTTTTTGCTTATAAGCAGGAATCAGGAGGATAGAGTTATGGTCAGATTTGCCAAATGGAGGGCGAGGGAGAGCTTTGTATGCATCTCTGTGTGTGGAGTAAAGGTGGTCTAGAGTTTTTTTCCCTCTGGTTGCACATTTAACATGCTGGTAGAAATTAGGTAGAATGGATTTAAGTTTCCCTGCATTAAAGTCCCCGGCCACTAGGAGCGCTGCATCTGGATGAGCGTTTTCCTGTTTATTTATGGCCTTATACAACTCATTCAGTGCAATCTTAATGCCAGCATTGGTTTGTGGTGGTAAATAGACAGCTATGAAAAATATAGATGAAAACTCTCTTGGTAAATAGTGTGGTCTACAGTTTATCATAAGATACTCTACCTCAGGCGAGCAAAACCTCGAGACTTCCTTAGTATTTGATTTTGTGCACCAGTTGTTGTTTACAAATATACAGAGACCGCCACCCCTTGTCTTACCAGAGTCATTTTAGTCTTTTAACAGACGCTCTTCAGGGATTTTTCTGCCGTTGAAATCCTTGGGTGGCCCGCATAAGATTTTTGTTCATGTCATCTAAATCAAACAGTGTTTTTTATATATATATATCTATATATCTATATATCTATATATATACAGTGGGGGAAAAAAGTATTTAGTCAGCCACCAATTGTGCAAGTTCTCCCACTTAAAAAGATGAGAGAGGCCTGTAATTTTCATCATAGGTACACGTCAACTATGACACCACCACCTTGCTTGACATTACTGGAACCATGTCGTCCAAAAAGTTATACTTTTGAATCATCTGTCCATAGAACGTTCTTCCAAGAGTCTTGATGATCATCCAGGTGAGCTAGCTGTAATGACTCCAACCAAAAGTAGAGAGAATGATTTATTTAAGCTTTTATTTCTTTCATCACATTCCCAGTGGGTCAGAAGTTTACATACACTCAATTAGTATTTGGAAGCATTGCCTTTAAATTGTTTAACTTGGGTCAAACGTTTCGGGTAGCCTTCCACAAGCTTCCCACAATAAGTTGGGTGAATTTTGGCCCATTCCTCCTGACAGAGCTGGTGTAACTGAGTCAGGTTTGTAGGCCTCCTTGCTCGCACACACTTTTTCAGTTCTGCCCACACATTTTCTATAGGATTGAGGTCAGGGCTTTGTGATGGCCACTCCAATACCTTGACTTTGTTGTCTTTAAGCCATTTTGCCACAACTTTGGAAGTATGCTTGGGGTCATTGTTCATTTGGAAGACCCATTTGCGACCAAGCTTTAACTTCCTGACTGATGTCTTGAGATGTTGCTTCAATATATCCACATAATTTTCCTTCCTCATGATGCCATCTATTTTGTGAAGTGCACCAGTCCCTCCTGCAGCAATGCACCCCCATGATGCTGCCAACCCCGTGCTTCACGGTTGGGATGGTATTCTTCGGCTTATAAGCAGCCCCCTTTTTCCTCCAAACATAACAATGGTCATTATGGGCAAACAATTATATTTTTGTTTCATCAGACCAGAGGACATTTCTCCAAAAAGTACGATCTTTATCCCCATGTGCAGTTGCAAACCGTAGTCTGGCTTTTTTATGGCGGTTTTGGAGCAGTGGCTTCTTCCTTGCTGAGCGGCCTTTCAGGTTATGTCGATATAGGACTAGTTTTACTGTGGATATAGATAATTTTGTACCTGTTGCCTCCAGCATCTTCACAAGGTCCTTTTCTGTTGTTCTGGGATTGATTTGCACTTTTCGCACCAAAGTACTTTCATCTCTAGGAGACAGAACGCGTCTCCTTCCTGAGCAGTATGACGGCTGCGTGGTCCCATGGTGTTTATACTTGTGTACTATTGTTTGTACAGATGAACGTGGTACCTTCAGGCATTTGGAAATTGCTCCCAAGGATGAACCAGACTTGTGGAGGTCTACACATTTTTTTCGTAGGTCTTGGCTGATTTCTTTTGATTTTCCCATGATGTCAAGCAAAGAGGCACTGAGTTTGAAGGTAGCCCTTGAAATACATCCACATGTACACCTCCAATTGACTCAAATTATGTCAATTAGCCTATCAGAAGCTTCTAAAGCCATGACATCGTTTTCTGGAATTTTCCAAGCTGTTTAAAGCCACAGTCAACTTAGTGTATGTAAACTTCTGACCCACTGGAATTGTGATACAGTGAATTATAAGTGAAATAATCTATCTGTAAACAATTGTTGGAAAAATTACCTGTGTCATGCACAAAGTAGATGTCCTAACTGACTTGCCAAAACTATAGTTTGTTAACAAGACATTTGTGGAGTGGTTGAAAAACGAGTTTTAATGACTCCCACCTAAGTGAATGTAAACTTCCGACTTCAACTGTATATTTTATATTTGAGATTCTTCAAAGTAGCCACCCTTTGCCTTGATGACAGCTTTGCACACTCTTGGCATTCTCTCAACCAGCTTCACCTGGAATGCTTTTCAAACAGTCTTGAAGGAGTTCCCACATATGCTGAGCACTTGTTGGCTGCTTTTCCTTCACTCTGCGGTCCAACTCATCCCAAACCATCTCAATTCGGTTGAGATCGGGTGATTTGTGGAAGCCAGGTCATCTGATGCAGCACTCCATCACTCTCCTTCTTGGTAAAATAGCCCTTATACAGCCTGGAGGTGTGTTGGGTCATTGTCCTGTTGAAAAATAAATGATAGTCCCACTAAGCGAACACCAGATGGTATGGCGTATCACTGTAGAATGCTGTGGTAGCCATGCTGGTTAAGTGTGCTAAATAAATCACAGACAGTGTCACCAGCAAAGCACCCCCACACCATAACACCTCCTCCTCCATGCTTTACGGTGGGAACTACACACGCGGAGATCATCCGTTCACCCACACCTCGTCTCAATAAGACACGGCGGTTGGAACCAAAAATCTCAAATTTGGACTCATCAGACCAAAGGACAGATTTCCACCGGTCTAATAAAACTGTCTAATTGCTCGTGTTTCTTGGCCCAAGCAAGTCTCTTCTTCTTATTAGTGTCCTTTATATTTTACATTTACGTCATTTTAGCAGACACTCTTATCCAGAGCGACTTACAGTTAGTGAGTGCATACATTATTTTTATTTTATTTTTCATACTGGCCCCCCGTGGGAATTGAACCCACAACCCTGGCGTTGCAAACGCCATGCTCTACCAACTGAGCTACAACCCTGCCGGCCATTCCCTCCCCTACCCTGGACGACGCTGGAACAATTGTGCGCCGCCCCATGGGTCTTCCGGTCGCGGCCGGCTACGACAGAGCCTGGATTCGAACCAGGATCTCTAGTGGCACAGCTAGCACTGCGATGCAGTGCCTTAGACCACTGCGCCACTCGGGAGACTTTAGTAGTGGTTTCTTTGCAGCAATTCGACCATGAAGGCCTGATTCACACAGTCTCCTCTGAACAGTTGATGCTGAGATGTGTCTGTTCCTTGAACTCTGTGAAGCATTTATTTGGGCTGCAATTTCTGAGGCTGGTAACTCTAATGAACTTATCCTCTGCAGCAAAGGTAACTGTGGGTCTTCCTTTCCTGTGGCGGACCTCGTGAGAGCCAGTTTCATCATAGCGCTTGATGGTTTTTGCGACTGCACTTGAAGAAACTTTCAAAGTTCTTGACATTTTCCGGATTGACTGACTTTCATGTCTTAAAGTAAAGATGGGCTGTCGTTTCTCTTTGCTTATTTGAGCTGTTGTTGCCATAATATGGACTTGGTCTTTCAGCAGTAATGATTTTGTTATTATTCTTGAGCAAAAGAACACTGCATTAGCCACGGCAAAATGCATAAAACTGCAGGAAATTGGCTTTAAAACTGCAAAGCAAATTCCCAGCTCCATGACAGAATATGCAGAATCGTAGGACATTTGCTATAAAACTGCAAAAAAAATTCTCAGCTGCATGGCAAAATGTGTAGAATATTCGGAAATTAGCTTTAAAACTGCATAATTTATCTCAAATTATATTTATAGTATTAATATCCCTCCTTTTTTTTATCTCCTCCTTATTATTATTATTATTATTATTATTATTATTATTATTATGATCATCATTATGATAATAAGTGATGTCATTATCATTAGTAGTCTCAGTAGAACTGCCTTGTTATAACCACCATGGAGCTGTAGGCCAAAGAGCGCATCCTGTTTACTCTTAATACCGTAACTTATTTACAATATTTACAATAGTCATATAGGCTACTGTATCAATTAATCATGTATTTGTTCATGTCATCACACAGCATATGAGTCATTCATGTTTTAGAATGCTATCAAGCATTTTCGTTTTTTAAAAATAAAATAAAGCGAACCTTGAATAATTAGCGTAAACAATAAATAAAACCGTTTCATTTCGGAAATTGCATCACTAATGAATGTGACTGTTTTTAGTCTTTGCTGTAATAAAGGCTTTACAACAGACGCTCTGGTGCCCTTTATAATTTATTTAGTGTTGTTTACATTGTTCCAAACAGTCAGAAAACATTATATTGTAATCTAACAGCACCTGTTTGGCACACATAATATCCACGCAGCGCTCGCTCCTTACCTTCTTTTTCTTGATCTCCAGTATTTTCCACAACTAGTCAAATTTATTCCACACATCATACTTCCCCTTTTACCTCCTGAGCAACCAGTAAACATTCCCCTTTACCTCCTGAGCAACCAATAGACATTCCCCTTTACCTCCTGAGAAACCAGTAAACATTCCCCTTTACCTCCTGAGCAACCAGTAAACATTCCCCTTTACCTCCTGAGCAACCAGTAAACATTCCCCTTTACCTCCTGAGCAACCAGTAAACATTCCCCTTTACCTCCTGAGCAACCAGTAAACATTCCCCTTTACCTGCTGAGCAACCAGTAAACATTCCCCTTTACCTCCTGAGCAACCAGTAAACATTCCCCTTTACCTCCTGAGCAACCAGTAAACATTCCCCTTTACCTCCTGAGCAACCAGTAAACATTCCCCTTTACCTCCTGAGCAACCAGTAAACATTCTCCCTCTTCAAGTTTATGAGTCACGTCCTCTGCATCCATTTTGTTGTCACATGTGCACGGAATTTGTTATAACCAATATATTGATGTGTTTATGATGTGCTTTAGGTCAGGCCCTATTGGTCACGTGCATGCGATGCGTAACAGAACTTGTCAGTCAGAAATTATTTAGCAGCTTCAGCAACATGGACAGCGTGATAAACACTGTTGATGTTCTGTAGTGGTCGCTGCAGCAGGGAGGAGAGACAACGGGTGCTAGTCACAGTCACTCGCTGTCAGCGCAGCAAGTCTGAGCCCGGCCCGGCACAATCAAATCAATTGCTGATCGGACTCCCTCTAGTCATTTGTGTGTCTTAGTTATTTAATCAAACAGTTCGCTTAAAGCAACAGACAAGCTCAGTGCATATAGTTGATTTGATTATAACACATGGGATGTGTCAATAAATGGAAAAATACAAGTTTAAATATTTCAACCAATCGATTGGTCGAAAGAACAGGCGACTCTCGGTCGAAAAAATATTTTGTTTAGTCGGAGACAGCCCCACTCTACATTGAGTTGGCGCGTAACGGTCTGTTTGGAGTGAGTCAGGAATCCATGTTCTACTTCTGTCTTCTGTCTCTCTTAGCATCTCCCTGTACGTAGAGCTGGCTTGTAACGGTCTTTTCGGAGCGGGTAAGGGATCCATGATTGCAGCACCTGACCCAGACAGGAAGTACTCTGTCCAGAAGGCGGAGCTTGTAGTGTTTAAGCCGGAAGTCAGGGAGCTGCTGACCGACTTGGAGATGCTGGTTGACATGGTCAAGGTATGTTGGGAAAGGTACTAAATAACAGGATGTGAAGTAGGTCAAGAGGTCATGTCTGGAGCAGGGTGGGGTCAATTCCAGGAGTAGTAAACTAACTAAATTGACTGAATTGAAATGGAATTGACTCCAAACCCTAACCTGAAGATAGTTTACCTTACACTGCTCAAGATGGCATAGTGACATGTAACTGTAATGAAGCGTAACTGTAATGAAGCGTAACTGTAAACTGTAGTCATTGTGTTTCTCTTGTTCTGTTCCTGCTTTCTTATGTCTGATCCTGTCTTGTCCTGTCTTGTCCTGTCTTGTCCTGCCCGGTCCTGTCCTGTCTTGTCCTGTCTTGTCCTGCCTGGTCCTGTCTTGTGCTGCCTGGTCCTGTCTTGTCTTGTCCTGTCTTGTCCTGTCTTGTCCTGTCTTGTCCTGTCTTGTCCTGCCTGGTCCTGTCTTGTGCTGCCTTGTCCTGTCTTGTCCTGTCTTGTCCTGCCTGGTCCTGCCTTGTCCTGTCTTGTCCTGTCTGGTCCTGTCTTGTCCTGCCTGGTCCTGTCTTGTCCTGCCTGGTCCTGTCTTGTCCTGCCTGGTCCTGTCTTGTCCTGTCTTGTCCTGCCTCCTCTCAGCTGCTGGGTGAGGGGGAGCAGCGTGGGTACCAGGCTCTGTTCACAGCCAATGAGATGGTGAACCTGTGTGAGCCGACCAATCCCAGCTCATTTCCTGCGGCCCGAGTTGGTCAGAGTTCAG